TTCAAGTTTGTGAGAAACCAGCCTAAAATAGTGGTAGGTTTCTGAAATCTACTACATAAAATGTTTATAAGTTTATGACCATTAACCATTGTCCATTGGTGGGTGTTGTGAAATTTATTCTTTTATTTCTCCTTCTCCTTGTCGTCATGCATCATGTGAATCTCAAGTCATTTGCAGCATATATATTCCTGATTGGAGGCATGTGAGGTTAGTAGAATAGTAGGTTACCCACCGCCGATCGAGCCGTCCAGTACTTACAAGTCCTCTGCTCAGAACTTCGGTTCAGTAGAAACAAGGCAAGGCAAGAAATTACGTAGGCAAAAGTCCATACATGGTTTACATATGAGCACATTGAATCTCAAGAAAGGTCAGTGGCTGGCCAAGTCCTGAATATTTATTCTCTGTAGTAAGATACCTCAACTTCTCTTTGAAGCGGCATTTATTATATATTGGTACTAGCAAAAACCTAAATGGCCTTTTCTGATTTTGGACTATGTGAATGGTTGCAAACATGGTCGTCTGACTCTTGCCAATTGTACCCAGTTATTAATCTCCTCACGGATTGATATGTGGTGCGCTGAGTACTTTGAACCTCAAATGGTGACCAAATGGCCATAATGCCTTAGTTAAGAAGAATAGTTGACCAATTGGGTAGGTCCTGAATAAATTATCTCAGTATACCTGAACTTTTCTTTGATGCCACATAACTAGCAAAATCACAAATGATCTTTGCTAGTTTAGGCTAAATGATCTACCGACCTGCAAACAATATCTGCTTAATTTGTTTTTTTTTCCACTGATGACTCTCCGGTCTAGTAAACGCCAGTACGAGAGTAGGTTTCTGACAACAGCAGCTGGCCATTAGATGACTCAGGGTTTCCCGAATTAGGTCAACTGCAAATGTTTTTTTGAACGTATTAGGTCAACTGCAATAACAGGGATTACAGAAGCCAACTGTAATAACCGGGATTACAGCAATCAAAGCCTCAAAAGACTGATGCGAAACCTACTGAATTGTTTCTTTACACAATATCAAATGCATGGCCGGTTTAGAACTCCGATCTGGAGCGAGTTGGTTGACAATACTTTCGTCAGAAAAATGATGGCCACCTGCTAGTCCAGACGATGCCATTTGGTAATGCTGCTCAACGTTGAAACCTTGCGTAAATTGACCTTATAAACCAATGCATTATAAATAAAAAGGAAACGACAAAACTAGACGCTCGGATCTTCTGATGAACGAGACGCAAATAGTCAAATACTACTCCTCCATACCCCCCCCAAAAAAAAAATGGCATTCCAGTTTTATACTAAGTCAAAGTCATCTTAGATTTGACCATGTTTGTACACCAATAGTTATATTACTAAACCAGCGTTGTTGAATTCATCACGAAATAGTTTCATGGTGTAACTATCGATGTCATAAATATCAATGATCTTCTACATAAACTAGTTCAGAGAAATAAATCGAACAGAGAAGTAAATGAAATAAACTGTGCTGAACAATATCGTCAAATTTCAGACATTTTCAACATAATTGTGCTGAACAATATCGTCAAATTTCAGACATTTTCAACTTAACTGCGCTGAACAATTTCGACAAATGTCAGACAAGGACAGTGGAAATGTCCAGGAAACTCTAGGTCCGGGTCGACCGGACAAGGCGTCTAGCAGACGGCAAGGACGTGCATTGCAGACTTGCAGTTGTCGGGATCTTCCTCCCCTAGGTGACACCGTTTCGTCATAGGCTGAAAATTCATATGTGGACTGCCTGCTTAGATTTAGAATGGACTCGGCTAAAGAAATCATCCAGCGCCCTAGAAATAACTATACTGATCTAGTCTGATCTTGAAAGCATAGTTTGAATTTTTCAGAGAAATATATATACACGTCAAGGAGTTTTTGCATCGTAGAAGAAACTGTCCTGAACATGATAGCTTAACGAATTCTTGGGTGCGCATCTCTGATCCGTGGCGTCGATTGCGGTCAGTGTGCACTGGCGATCGGCGAAACGGTATGGACTCCCTCTTCGCCCTCGTCTCCTGGCAACTATGGAAGGAACGGAACGCAAGATGTTTCCGGAAATCGACATCGTCCGTCGGCGACCTACTGCACATCATCAAGAACGAAGCCGACCGATGGATTCAGGCCGGAGCAAGCGGGCTACGTGCGCTAGCGCAGGGCTAGGTCCTTGTCAGGATAGACATGGATTACGGTTGTTGTTTTTTCCATAACGTAGCGTCCGCAGAAAAACTAACTAACGGCCAGGAATGCAACTCTTGTATTATAAACTTTTTCTTCTAATACAATGATATGCACACTCGTGCGTATTTGAGAGAGAAAAAAAAATCACATGTGAGAACAGTGCACATGTCCGATGGCACATGTTTGCTGTCTGTAGCCTGAATGCTCCCTACGTTTCCTTGCCCTCTTGATGAGAAACAGGAAAAGAAACTAGTGGACCAGTCTGCCTACCATATTGATATTGTTTGTGCTTATTCAGAATATAGCGATGGACCATCTCCATCTGTTTTAATTCTTATTACCAAAAGAACCATATAGAATTATAGATCTACATGTACCGGTGTACCTTGGCCTTGGCCACCCCGGAGCTTATCCACATGTTTTCACTGCTGGCTAGTCTGTTAACAACTTATTTTGAAACGCAGACTCGTTGCGGATTTGCGGTGCATCATTATCTGAGTATACTCTAGTACGCATACAAAAATATCATGTTTCGTGAAAGATATAAACCCCTTTTTATGATGAAACGAAAGGTTTAAATCTATGTCTCCTACAATGAAACGCACAGAACTTAAAACTCATTTTACTTAGACTAAATAAAAGAGATAGACTTACATCAATAAAATAATGTCGTTTGCGTCAACGGTTCTTAGGCTGTCTCAACTGAAGACACGTTGTAGAACTCAAACTCAAAACAGGTCTCTAGCATAATAGCTAGGGTAAAATATAATTTACACCCTCCAACTATCGCCAAAGTATAGATTTCAACCTCGAACTTCAAAACCGGATAACTTTGGCCCTCCAACTCTTGAAAAAGTTCAACTTTCAACCTTCTGGGCGGTTTTGCGTATGAACAGTACTTTTGATATTTATAGGAGACGTTGAAATTTTATATTATTTTTTTAAGCATCTTAACGTCCTCAAATGAAAAAACTCAAAACTACAAAGTTGTAGAGCTCGTTGAGAGCTACAACTTTGGTATAAAAAGTATTTTTATTTAACTCCATACAAATAATATATTAGTGCTCTAATGCGGCAAGCGCCAGTTGACGATTATTATGGTGCTAAAATTTTATATTATTTTTTCGAGCATCTTACTGTCCTCAAATGAAAAAACTCAAAAGTACAAAGTTGTAGATATCATCGAGGTCTACAATTTACATATAAAAATTATCTTCATCCATCATCGTATTGAAGGGTTTTCTATTTTTTGAAATTAGAGTCTCATCACGTGACAAACAATTTTAGACCTCGATGAGACTCTAATTTCAAAAAATAGAAAACCCTTCAATACGATGGCGGATGAAGATAATTTTTATATGTAAATTGTAGACCTCGATGAGATTTACAACTTTGTAGTTTTGAGTTTTTTCATTTGAGGACAGTAAGATGCTCGAAAAAATTATATAAAATTTCAGCAACATAATAATCGTCAACTAACGCTTGCCGCATTAGAGCACTAATATATTATTTGTATGGAGTTAAATGAAAATATTTTTTATACCAAAGTTGTAGCTCTCACTGAGATCTACAACTTTGTAGTTTTGAGTTTTTTCATTTGAGGACATTAAGATGCTTAAAAAATAATATTAAATTTCGACGTCTCCTAAAAATACCAAAAGTACTGTTTATACACAAAACTGTCCAGAAGGTTGAAATTTGAACTTTTTCAAGAGTTGGAGGGCCAAAGTTATCCGGTTTTGAAGTTCGGGGTTGAAATCTATACTTTGGCGATAGTTGGAGGGTATAAATTATATTTTATCCTAATATCTATAGCCTTCAACAGAGTAGGAAGACTTATTTTAGGTGATAACCTAAATCTGGGTATCGTCTCCTGAAGACTCATTTACAGAATATGGTTGTCTTTTGGGTCTCGTTATTGGAGAAGACCAAAAATAGATATTAAGGCCCCATTTGGTACGGCTCCACTCCACCCATGAAGCCTTTTTTTAGGGCTTCAGCTCTATGAACAGCTCTATGGGTGGAGCTGTAGCCGTTTTGATAAATTGTTTGGCAAAACAGCTTTACATATAGTTTTTCTTAAAATATGCTCTCAGAGAACGCCATGTAGAATGAGGTGAAGCCAAGAGAAGCCACTATTTTTGGCTCCTTTCCACCCCAAAGCTCTGTGAGAGCACGTTTTTAAGGGCTTCATCGGTGGAGCCGTTTTATTTTACCCTGTTTAGCAGAAAACGGCTCTAAGTGGCTCGTAAAGCCGCTAGAGAAACCCTGCCAGATATGGCCTAAATCCTTTGTCTGCAATACTACCTAGAGAACAAATCAGTCTTGTATTTTAGCCGCGTGTTACTGGAGACAGTCTTATAGGTCCGATCTGAGCCGTCGACCGCGCGATCTCGCGGTGCAGGACAGTAGGAGCCGTGCGCCGACCTCGCCCGTGCCCGTTTGCGTTACGCCTCCTAGTATCGACCGCGGCCGGCGGCCCACGTTTATAGGCATAGGTAGGCGCGACCGCACGGCGCAGAACGCGCGGGTACGGCGGCCTTTGCCATTTCCCACCCTCCATGCGCAAGGCGCCGCAGACGGGGGAGGAGACGACGCGACCGCGACCTTGACCGCGACCGAATCGCGAGCGGTAATCTAGGCCAGACGAGAGGCGATCGGAGGGGGGCGGCCCAGGGAGGAGCAGAGCGGAGGGGGCGCGCGCGAGGGATGGACGCCAACGGGCGCGGGGAGAATGACGACGCGCGGGCGCCGCTCCTGGCAGGCCCGGGCGGCGGCGCAACTCGGTCGCGTCCATGCTCGGGGAGTTCGTCTCGCGGCTGCCCAAGAAGGTGCTCGACGCCGTCGACCCCGAGCGCCCGTCGCACGTCGACTTCTCCCGCTCCAAGGGCCTCCTCGAAGGTTCATCCCGGAATCCCAACTACCCGCCGCATTCTCGGGTTGTTTTTCTTTGTCGTTGGTTGGTTCGCTCTGTCCCTGGAATCTTTATTGGCATTTCGTTTTCTTAATCTGGTAATTGTGCTAGAAAGCTGGCGTTACTATCGGGCTCCTTTATCTACAGAGTATCTTGGTGATATGATTTATGCGCTTTTGATCCTAGATTCTGGAGTTGTAGTAGATAATCCGATGCTTCTGCGGATGACCCAGACACTTATCCTTGCCGCAGACTTTTCTGGGTTCCTAGGATTTCCCTTCTTACTTTTATGATTGAACAGCTCCTGACTTTACTATCACTTGGTGCTTCTTGTCCCTGTTTCTTTTACATATTTGGTTGAGGAAATACCTTTTCGACGTGTTTGTTCTCTTATCATGGCCCTGGCCTTCTAGGTGGTTTGTTGGATTCTCTGTACAGACAACTGTGAAACTATGGACTATGGTGTTTGTTTTTGTTAAAATCCCTGAAGATAACGCTATTCCTTTCTTATGTTCTGCAGCAGGCATGCAAATGAGTTTTACAGATACCACGTAGCAAACTAAGTGATTTTTGAACTGTGCGTCTGTGCCTGCATATGGTTCACTCCGCAGCTTTTATCTCTGTGTTATCTTTTGAATCTTTGATTGTAGTTGGAACACTAAGATTCATCAAGACAAAAGACTATGTAGGGGTGGGTGGGGGGGGGGCCCAGGCTGCAGGTAGCCAGACCAAGCGCATGCACAAGCCGGTGTTTGGTTATTCGTACTCACAGAGCCTGGCTGTTCGGAGTTTTTGTTTGGTTCACTGCATGCGAGCATCAGCTGTTTCACTGACATGTCCGGTCTGCATGCTTACTTGGCTCGCGCGAGCCTAGCCGTGGAGGAACGGCGATTTTGGGCGTATGAGTTGAGCCTGGCTCATGAAGGAATCTTGCACCGCATGAGACAGGCCCAAACCTCCAAGCAGCCAACCAAACGCTCGACTGCTGCATCCGTAGAGCCTGGCCGCGGCGTATGCAGGCAACCAAACGCGCCCAAAGTCTTACAAAGGCCTTGTTTAGATGCCATCCAAATTCCAAGTTTTTTCACCCTCTCTCCATCACATCAATTTTTAGTCGCTTGCATGGAGTATTAAATGTAGGTAAAAAAATAACTAATTATACAGTTTAGTTGAAAATCACGAGATGAATCTTTTGAGCCTAGTTGGTCCACGATTGGACAATATTTACCAAATAAGACGAAAGTGGCACTATTCATCGGGTTCACTTTTTTTTGCAATCTAGACAAGGCGAAAGATTCGAGTAAATGGAACGATTACATGTCAAAGGTGTTTCTCCGTTTGGCGGCCAGGGAAGCATTCTTCCTCGGTATGCGGCAGACCCAGGAGCGTGCTGACTCCTTGCAAGCAGCCACAAGACGACCCACGCTTGGTTCCAAACCTCTGAAGACCACCTCGTTGCGGTGTTTCCAAATTTCCCAGCAGCATAGGATGATGATGGGGTGGGCGACGTCAAGATGAATCCTCGGTGGCGTGAGCGTCTCCTAGAGCTGTGTCACCGGAGCTATCCCTTCCGGCGCCCAGCCTATAGCATGCCAGAAGGTAGTAACGAAGCTGCAACCTGAAAAAATGTGGTCTGCCGACTCGTCCGCAGCCCCACAAATCTCACAGGTAGCATGTTGAAGTAGGTTCTTGCGAACGAGGCAGGTTTTGCAGTTGATCCTGTTCTTTGTGAGTAGCCAGGCGAAGAACTTTACCCTTGGCGGCGCGAACGAGTGCCAGACGAATTTGAAGGCGGGGGACGTGTGATCGCCCTGAGTGGAGCTTCCCGGCAGCATCCTGGAATAGGTTAGATCTCTGGTCCGGGGCGTTGTCAAGCTCGACGTCCATTAGAAGCGTGTCGAGCAGCTGTAGATCGGCGGCGGCTTGGCTGGACAGTCGCCGTTGCAGCATGTTACGAAGGCCACCATGGACGATGTCGCGCACGGATGTGGCTCGGCCGACAAAGTGACTGAAGAGTGCCGGCATTTTCTCCGCCAGCGGTTCGTCCGTGAGCCATGTGTCATGCCAAAAGGAGGTGTCTTCTCCGTTCCCCACCGAGACCGTCGTGATGTGTTGGTAGGCGGGAAGTAGATTGTGTATGGCCGCCCAGTGCGTGCCGGCCATGTCGCCTGTGAGGTCGGCGAGGTTTAGCTGGCTGCGCGCCCACATAGCCCACGCCGAGCCTTGCGGGTGGTGTAGGCGATGTACCAACTTCAGAAGTAGACAGGCGTTCTGGGTGTCCAGCCGCTTGACGCCTAGACCCCCATCCTCCTTGGCTTGACAGACCATCTCCCAGGCCACCAAACACTTCGCGCCGGTGCCCTTGTCCATCCCGGACCACAGGAAGGCATGGTGGCGGCGGGCGTCGATTGCGGCGACAGGGGGGGGTAGCATGGCGTGGTGGGGACTCCGGTGAGGACGGCGTTGACGAGGACCACTCTGCCCGCTGTGGCCAGCAGCATGGCCTGCCAGCCCGCTAGGTACCGATCCACCTTGGCAATGAGCGGAGCGAACGCCGAAAGTGGGAGCTTGACATTGGAGAGCGGCAGTCCCAGGTAGGTTTGGGGAAAACTGCCAACGTTGCAGTTGAGAACGCCTAGGAAATCCTCGATGGCCCCCTCCGGCAAGTGCATCGGCGTGATAGTGCTCTTGTCATAGTTGATCTTGAGGCCGGTCGCCGACGAGAACATGTCGAGGAGCTGTTTGAGCCTGCCAACACCTATCCATCCCAAAATAGTTGACAATTTAGCTATGAATCTGGACAATGTTAACTATTTTGGGATAGTGGGAATAGTCTTTGGTGTATGCTGTATTTCCATCATAATTTTCTAGCCTCATATTATTAACATTGCTCTTTCATGTCCTATTATTGTTTGAGACTGAGATAGACTATTTCATATGTATTAACAGTAGAGCTTCTGCCTTTTCTTTTAAATTTAAAAGCTCCTTATATATCTTTAGTTTAATTCTCTATTATCGACAACCTAACAAAGTGGTGTGTTTTGGGTCTATTATTTAGGGGAGAGAGAGTACTATGAGAAACAATTTGCCACATTGAGGTCCTTTGAGGAAGTTGACTCACTAGAAGAATCCAATGAAATCAACGAGGATGAGGAGCTTGCGGAGCAAATCCAGAGTGAATTTGCCATGAAGATATCAAATTATGCAAACATTATTCTCTTAGCGTTGAAGGTTGGTTCGTCCCCCCACTTTTCAATTCCTATTCATGAACTCCTCTAGGATGATTAGACTATTTTTCCCTCAGGTATACGCTACAATCAAAAGTGGATCAATTGCTATAGCTGCCTCAACACTGGATTCACTGCTTGATCTCATGGCTGGTGGTATCCTTTGGTTCACACACATCTGTCAATGAAGAGCATCAATGTCTACAAGTACCCCATTGGCAAACTGAGGGTACAGCCTGTAGGCATTATCATCTTCGCTGCTGTCATGGCCACTTTAGGTATGCTTGCTTTTTCTCCCAACGGGAAATGGTTAAGCAATCTAGTCACGTCTTTTCTTGATTACTTACTTGTTTGCGACATGCGTACCGCCATGTTAGAACTATACTCAGCTGAGTGCGATCTTCCTGCCAAAGTCATCTACATTAATTTGGTGTCACGTCTGCAGGCTTCCAAGTATTTATTCAAGCTGTTGAAAAGCTGATAGTGAATGAGGCTCCAGACAAACTGAACCAAGTGCAATTACTGTGGCTATATTCAATCATGATCTTTGCAACAGTAGTGAAATTAGCTCTGTGGCTCTACTGCCGAACGTCTGGTAACAAGATTGTCCGTGCTTATGCTAAGGTTAATATCTTGTTCCATTTCTCAACTTGGCATGGATTTTTTGTTTTACTTAAAATTGAACATAGTTTATCAAATATCTGTGGTGGATTGGTTTTCACAGGATCATTATTTTGATGTTGTCACAAATGTCGTGGGCTTGGCTGCTGCTGTCCTTGGTGATAGATTCTACTGGTGGATTGACCCAATTGGTGCAATTGCCCTTGCAGTGTACACAATTTCAAACTGGTCCGGAACGGTGTGGGAAAATGCAGGTTTGTGTTGTGTTACTTGTTCAGTTTGAACATTTGCTTAGGCAACAGTACCTGCACTCATTTTTTTTTATGAAAGAGAATTACCTGCACTCATTTACATACATCCGTCCAATCGTACTCATGATAAGGAAGTGAGCCTAGCTCAAGTGGTTAGGTGAGAGGTGTGGTTGTGCACCCAACCACCTAGGTATAAGTCCTCGCCTTGAATTTGGGTGCCTATTTTCTCTTTTTAATGAAAAAACACCTAATTCCTCCTAGGTTGGATGGATGGACTGGACTTCTCTTCTTAATGAAAAAATGCCTACATCCTCCTAGGTTGGATGGACTTATTATTTATACTAGCCTACTAGAAATGGATGATATTTAACCTTGAAGTGGTGTTACCATTACAAATAGAAATTACTTGAGTTAAATGCTTTCTCTGGAATCACTTTGCACTATCAACCAGAGTAGTTGCCACATGTAGCACCAAGATTACTTGCACGTTACAAATTGGCTAGGACTGACAGACAGTCTTATTATTGTTATCCTCCATGCAGTATCACTGGTAGGTTGGCTAGGTCTGACAGTGACAGACAGTCTTATTATTGTTATCTATTGTTATCCTCCATGCAGTATCACTGGTAGGTGAATCAGCTCCTCCGGAGATGCTTCAGAAGTTGACATATCTGGCTATCAGACACCATCCTCAAATTAAGCGCGTTGATACAGTTCGGGCATACACCTTTGGGGTGCTTTACTTTGTTGAGGTAAGTGTTTCTTTATTTTACTCACTCTGTCCAAAATTATAGGTCATTTTAGTTTTGTTCTAAGTGAAAAAGAGTTTGTTACTTTGTCCAAGCTTATAATAAAATGCAGTAACGTCTACAAGATCAAATTGATTTCATTAAATCCACATAAATATTAGGTGTTAATATATTTCTATACAAACTTGATCAAAGTTAGAAAGTTTGACTTGGGACCAAACTAAAACGACCTGCAATTCGGGACGGGAGTAATATCTTATATTCCTTCATTTGTCCTTTGCTGGGGGCTAACCAAGTGATAGTGTTATCTTAATCTGTTCAAATCCCTAGATGCTAGAACTGGATAATGTTGTTGTCTCAACAACTCGATTTGTCGTTTCGAAAGGTTAATGTCATTGTTGGGAACTAGCAGGTTTCAGTTGTCTCCTTCTGGCACTACTGGAAACAAAACCATTATCGTTTTCTAAAGTATCGTAACTTTTCTGTTCCTGCAGTGATACTGTAGTGCTTAATCTAGAATGGTAAAATAGGAGTAAGATGTCATGGTTCTCTTATGATCTCACTTAATATATATAGCAAGTGGTAGTTGTAGTGTACGAATCTAGCAGTTGGGCAAGAATCATACCTGCCGACTGTTAGATTGTAACATGCTCATCTCATATGATCTTTGGACTCTCACAGGTTGACATCGAGCTCCCAGAGGACTTGCCACTTAAGGAGGCGCACGCCATCGGAGAATCTCTCCAAATCAAGATTGAGGAGCTCCCTGAAGTCGAGCGAGCATTCGTTCACCTCGATTTCGAGTGTGACCACAAGCCGGAGCATTCAATTCTCAGCAAGCTTCCCAGCAGCCAGCCTTGATCCGAACGGATCCTGCGTGGTAGATATGTCGTGCAAAATCTGCTGCAAGTGCTTGGTGTCTTGTGCTGTGTGACAAAAACTAAGAGTTCAATTAGTTCAGGCGCGTCGAAGACTACGAGAGATGCAGGTGCCGAAGGCAGAGATTGCAATGAGTGTGGAACCCCTTGTGGTTCTGTTGGTCTGGTCGTCGTTTTGAGCGAAATTAGGCATTTTGCTGTTGGCATCATAGCTGTGTGCTATGGACTATGGTGATGTTTAGACCAACGGTTGGGAGAAAGAGAGTAGATCCTGGATTGCTTTAAGCAAATTCCATTTCCTTTTTCTCTTTGTCTGAAACTCAGGATCCTACTGAACCTTAATTTTTGCTATCTGATGAGGGAAGCTGAAGCTTCATTTTTTAGGGGATGAATACTGAATCTATATGTGTTATAGTGGCCCAAAACCTAAGCTCGAGTTTGCTTAACGTTTCCCAACATTTGTTCTTTGTATGTAAGACCACCATCCGGCCCAGTACTTAGTGGTTTGCTCTTTTGTACCAAAAATCAAGCCTGCTACTTTCTTTGCGGAAAACCATCAGGCCCAGTAAATCGAAACGGTCCTCTTATCTGAAATTAAGAAACAGGCAAAGGATCAAAGAAAACGTGCAACAAGCATCCTCTTCTGAAAGAATGAAACACTCCGTAGTCCGTAACTAAACAACCCTGTCATGTGCTTCAAACTTTGTGTTACAATTGCGGTAGACATGTGTTGCGTCGTACTAGTCCACACGCGGCGTCCAGATTTGCGTACCACTCTACCACTAGACTGCTGGTAATGCTCAACACGCCGGATGCTGACAATCGTCATATGTTTGGTGGGAGCGTTTGAGCCCTGCCATCGAGGTCGATCATCAAGAAGATCTGCCATCCAGCGCCTTGTCCGGCGGGCCGTGCCGCTAATGAAACCATGTCGTCACCACGGCACCGCCCCCTGGTCCTGGTCCTGGTCTTTGGCTGGGCCTGGCCGACAGCACCCGGTATCCGCCTGCCGCCACGATGGCTCTCCCTCCGATCCGTAGAGTTTGAGCCTTTTACCTTGTGCCACTGTCCATATTTAGACTCATACGTCACTAAAAAGTTTGAACGTATCTGGGTGCCATGACGTTAAACTTTTTTATTTTTCACGTCATTCCATCCACCTTTTGTTAGGTTTCCACCGTTTGACAGCCCTGATATACACGGATCCGACCAGTGGCGATGCCTAAAATACCCTTCTTTCTCTAGCCGGTGGGGCCAAGCCGTAAGTGACCTAGTCACCGTCTTCCTCCTCATCATGTCATCTTCCTCTACCTCCATCTTATCCAAAAACAGGCCTACGAAGGTGGCTTGGCAGGCATGGCCTACGCGAGCGTCAGCGCGTGGTTGACCTCGAGGGCAGCGACGGATGCACGCGGCGAGGCGAGTCCACCCCGAGCCCAATATTGGACACGCGTAGCTCGCTGCCGGCCGTGTGTGGCTCCTCGGCTCCAGTCGTGCCCCTGCGCGCCCCGCTGCCGGAGCCCGTTGCCTGCGCGACCACACCGCCAGAGCCCGTGCGGACTTCGCCACGGACCTCGCCCAGCTCCGCCGCGGTTGCGGTGTCTCGGTCGTGCACCCCACCGCCGGCCGTGCGCTCCGCCGCCTGCTGCGCGCCCCCCACCACCGTGTGCTCTGGCCAGTCCGCCACCCGCCGCGCAACAGGAAGAGGAGAGAGAGCAGAGTCACGGGGCACGGCAGCGCCGACGTAGCCACCATGACAGCTCTTTGGAGCTTCACCATTTTCTAATCTAAGACCATGGGGAGGGAGAGGAGGGCAAGGGGGTTCCGATGGACTACCTACCTTGGTCGATTACAGCTCAGGGATAGAGATCGACAGAGCGCCGCCGCAACCACCATGGCCGGCGAGCAGAGCTCACAGCGCCGCCGTGTTCCACTGCCTGCAGCCGTCCTCGGCCCCAACCAAAACCGCTGCTGGCTCCGCCTTCTTCTCCTCTGCGCGTGTGCCGCTCCGTTTCTCGGGTCGTGGTCGCCGCCATGGGCCACTGCTGTCGGGAGCCACCGCAGCGCGCGCGGGTGCCCTAGTGTTCATGCACCATAACGTCGGCAGCAGGCTAACAAGCAGAGGATCGCGCTGCGGACGTGGTGGAAGGAGCAGAGGTTCTGGGTGCCCAATGCCCCACCGGTCAGCTCTTTGGCTACGTCAGCGCCGCCCAGGAGTTGCTCGCCGCGCGCGGCCTCGCGGTCACCGTCGCCGTCCCGTCCGGCAATGCCGCGCTGCTCGTGCCGCTGGTCCGCGCGTGCCACACGTCACCTTCTCCTCCTCCTGTGTGCTCCACCTCGCCATGTCGCACGCCCTCTGCGCAGCCCGGCGACGAAGTGTTCATGGTGGGGCCCCTGTCGGACGCCGGCGGTGTGGCCACGTCGTCGGGGGGCGACCGTGGTGGGAAGCCTGCGGTGGGGGCGGCGCGGGTGGCCGCGTGGCTGGACGCGTTCCCGGATGGCTCCGTGTTGTCCGTCAGCTTCGGGACGCAGCAGGCGTTGTCATCGGTGCAGGCGGCGTCCGTGGCGGAGCTGCCGCGTTCGTGTGGGCTCGTCTGCGTTCGTGTGGGCTCGACGGAGCTGCTGCGTTCGTGTGGGCTCTACGGAGCTGTCGCCGGACGCGCTGGCGCGGAGCTCGACAGTGTTCGTGTGGGCGGCGAGGACGGGCACTACAGTGCCGGACAGGTTCGAGGCGGGCACAGCGTCACGCGTGCTGGTGATCCGCGGGTGGGCGCCGCGGGTGGAGGTGTTGCGTCACCACGCCGTGGGCTGGAACTCGGTGCTGGTGGTGGCCACCGCTGGGGTGCCCATGCTGGCGTGGCCCATGGGCGCCGACCAGTTCACGGACGCACGGAGGCACGCGAAGCTGCCCTGGCCGATCAGATAGAGAAGAGGGAGAAAATAAAATAAGTGAGGGAGAAAAGAAAATGAGAAAATAATTTTCTAAGGGCATTTTAGACTTTTTTTTGATGTGGTTGGCAAATATGGACGAAATGGCGTGAAAGGTAAGAAAGTTTAGCATCGGGACACCAAAGGACGTTCAAACTTTTTAGTACAGGTCAGGACCATCTTTCAACACACATGTAAAAGACTCTAGAGTTTTCCATACTCCAGCCGTCCAGCGGTTTTCGCCGTCAGGTGGGTCACCCGCAGCAAATCACGCGATTCACCCCCTGGTTTCGAACTGCAAATCACGCGATTCACCCCCTGGTTTCGAACTGACTGAGCACAACGAGAGAACGATGCGTGCGCGGACGGATAAGCCAAGAAGCTCGTTCCTGAAGCTTCCTGATCGAGCGGACTCAACGTGACGGAACGGGCCGGGGGGCATCTGGTCCTACTCGCCAGTTGCCACGGTCACGCAAACACTGCAGGTGGGACCCAGATGGCAGCATGGTCCGTCCGCGCAGCACGTACCGTTCCAGAAAGGTTGGCCTCCCTTCCCGCCGCCCCCGCTCCTCAACGCTTTGCTACTGCCGCGGTTGTCAGGCCAGGTTCCCTCCCTCCCTTCTTTTTCGCTTGCAGCTAGTAGTAGTCCTTGTTAACCTTTTCCTTTCCTTTTCTGTTCTTTTTGGCGCGTTTAGATCCGAAATTTTTTGGTTTTTGGGTATTGTAGCACTTTCGTTTGTATTTAGTAATTAGTGTCTAATTATGGACAAAGTTTTGTCTCGCGATTTCTCACCCAACTGTGCAATTAGTTTTTTTTCGTCTACATTTAGTACTCCATGTATGTGCCGCAAGATTCGATGTGACACTTACTGCGCAAAAATTTTTGGCTTTTGGAGGAAACTAAACGGGGCCTAAGTGCCTCCAAAACAGGAAAAAGTGGACTTCAAGTGCGAAGAGCAAATCTCGCAAGCTAATGAAACGAGAAACGTGTATTTGCGCATTTTCCCTAAACTCAAATAATCAGGCAACAAAACTCGTGGTACCATTAATTAAATTTGACACATGTATATGTTGTCAACATTCAAGATCACGCCGACTCAAGAGATTGCGCTAGGTCAGCACTCTTATTGCTTCTATGATTATAAGACCCACCTGGTTGTTATTATTGTAAATTGCTTAGAGCTCAACCAATTTTATTAAAAGCAGACTACAACTGCCCGGAGATGTGATCGCTTCATATTTGACAAGATTGGCCCCGCGCTGTTAAGTGTGCCACACAAGTTGCTCTAGAGGCGCCATCACAGCTTTGCATCTAAATCCTTTTTATTGGTCCTCCACTATTAATGCTGTGAAGCCTGCCACTGTATTATGCCGATGTGCATCATTTTCACATGTATTCTGGGTGGGGATTTTATTCCTTAAGATATTTTTCGCTCATCAGTCGAGCTAACGTTTCCCCTTTCCTTCTTTTTGTCGCAAAACAGGTTTTCCCAACGGTAAAGCATTAAAACCCATTTGGAACGCCAACATGCTTGTGACAGCAGTGACCAGAAATTTCATTATCATACTGTAATTTTTCAGGAAAAATCATTATGCTATATTGCTATATAGCTCACGTGCCATGCCAATGCCACACCATTTCTTCATCGAAGGCGACAACATGGGAAAAAGGCTACAGTTAGTAAAGCTGCAGGTCGCGCTTTATTCCGGTACAAAAGCGACCATGCGTGTAAAATCTTTCCCGCTAAAGTTCGGCTGTCAGACTCTGCTAGTGAGCAGTGAGCGACAAGGTGACTGTTTAGTTTCTAAAATTTTGTAAAATTTTTTAAAAGTTTTCGTCACATTGAATCTTTAGACGCATGCACGAAGCATTAAATATAAATAAAAAATAAAACTAATTACACAGTTTAGACGAAATTCACGAGACGAATCTTTTAAGCCTAATTAGACTATGATTAGACACGAATTGCCAAATAACAACGAAAGTGCTACGGTATCGTTCCCCAAAAAATTTCGTCAACTAAACAAGGCGAAGGTCCTAAAACTAAAACACCCCCCGTGTAGGATTGTAGCAATTTCATCCTTGTACAAGGTCCTAAACATAAAACACCCCCCGCGTAGTAATTTTTTTGACGCCACGCCACGGCAGTGACCGGCCGTGCGCCGCAGCTCGAAATTTACCTCGGGACCCCTGTCAAAACCCACCCGTCGCCACGCCAGAGACCGCCACCGCGAACTTGAAAACGTGCATTTCCGAGCCCGCTAACCGCGACGGTTAAAAATGCGTACGGCGTCGTCGCGTTCCCTCCCGCAGTCCCGGAGTCCCCCCATCTCGTCCCTGTCCCCCCCTCGCCTTTTACCCCGCACATCGCCTCGCCTCGCCGCCTCCCTCCTGCCCGTCGCGCTGAAACCCTCTCGGTCACCGACGCGGTCGATCCGACTCGGCAGCAGCTCAGGGGACCCCGTCGCCGCAGCATCCTCCGAGGGCCGTTGGCGGGGGGCAGTCGTCGTCGTATTCGGCGGCGGGAATTGGATGCGCCACGGAGCGGGCGAGAGGACCTAGCTGAGTTGAATACGGCGGCGACGGGAGGACGTGATGCCGGGGGTGGCGTCCGCAGCGGGATCGGGGATCTGGTCGCGCCGGCGGGACGAGATCACGTTCGATCGCCTCCAGAAGGTACCATCGCGTGCCCTCTGCTTCGTTCGTAGCCTGAGCTCGATCTGGGTGATGGGAATTGGGGGCAGGTCGGTCCTGCTGCCCTGTCGTAATTTCTGGGACGAAGCTGGTCCCCTGCCCCTCCGCCTGGCTTGATTGGTTGCTCTCAGCTCCTGAGTCGCGAAAAGCTCCATGGACATGTTGGTTTGGGGACTGGATTTAAGGGAATTATTTGCTGGGTTCGGGATTTATTTATTTTTTGATGAGTCGAGGATTCATTTGTGCGGCAAATTCTGTTAGTGGAGTTCAATCGGGTTACGCTTGTTGCTGCTTCTGATAAGCATACGGGCTAACTTTGACCTTTTGTAGCAGCTCATTTGTACTGTCTTTGCGTTAATTCTAGTGCATTGCCCTTGAGATATGGTGAGCCCGTGACGGTATGGCTGCACTTTTGGTTAGTACCTCAGGTGGGGGCGGGGGCGAGTGCTAGCCTGCTAGGTTGGAGTTCCTATTCTGCTCTGTATGAAATTTGACTGGCTTATGCTGTTTTGGTTACATGGTAGTGTTCGTGTCAAACAATTCAGGTATTTGATTTGAAGTGAGGGTTTAAAGTCTGTCCTGATGTTTAATTTTAGTGGCCTGTAAAAGTTCTGCTCTGGCATCTGGCAATAATGTCTGCCAAATGTCAATGATGCTTGGTAGGAACACTGCTTAAGAAAACAAATTGCCATGGGAAGTTAGGAATGTAAACTGTAGCCCTAAAGAGGAATGCATAATTCAAAAACTTTTATCAAGTTGCTATCAAATGAAATCATCAGGTTGTGATGGGTCTTTGTTAATTTCAACGAAACCGTGAAATCTTCACTCTTAAATCTTAGCACTTCCTATTATTTCTTTCGTTGTAGCATGTCTAGTTGCAACTAGAATCATACTGGATAAAACTGGTGATTGCACTCAAATAATTAAAACATGCTTTCGTCTATTCCATTTTGGTATTGTCACATGTTCTGTAATCTTCTTCAAGGTTTGTGCCATGTCTTCTATGATGACCTTGCGTTTGAATTACAACAGCCTTGCTTCACCATCACCTTTATTTGAGTTTGTAAATGTAACATTGCATCACTCTTGAATAGGATTGTGATTGATCGTTATTCTGTAAGTAAGGTTCTTGTCAAGCTGTTTCTGTCATCGAGTTCATTCTACTGGATGTTCTTTTTCAGCAACTAAGTTCTCAATTGAGGATCTGACTACTTTATGGCTGTGAATTGATTTTTTTTTCAGTTCTGGAATGACTTGCCTCCTCAAGCACGGCAGGAACTCCTCAAATTGGATAAGCAAACTCTCATTGAACAAGCACGCAAGAATTTCTACTGCTCAAGGTGCAATGGGTTGCTTCTGGATAGTTTTGCACAAATTGTTATCTATGGGAAGTCACTGCAGCAAGAAGCTTCAGATATTGGTTGTCTGAGGACAGCTACTGAGTCAAGAATTACACAAGGAGAGCAAGAAGGGGCTCAGGACCTATCAGTTCACCCCTGGGGAGGCCTTTCAACCACAAAAGATGGTGTCCTTACACTTCTTGACTGCTTTATAAAAGCGAAATCATTACGGGTGCTTCAGAATGTAAGTGTGCGGTAACTTTTGGGCTTCTTATTTTCTGTCTGCTCTATTGGTGACTATATGATTGAGAAATAATTTTCTGTTTTGTATATTGGTCCTTTGTGTTACTTTATGTGGAGTAATCAGTAAATATGATCATGGTGTTTACTCTGAAGTTTTAGTTCTAGGTCGGTCATTTAACCGGGCCTAATGCATTTTGGCCTTGGAATTTAATCAGGTATTTGACAATGCACAGGCAAGAGAAAGGAACGGAAATGCTTTATCCTGATGCCTGTGGTGTAGGTGGCAGAGGATGGATTAGCCAAGGGATGGCTAATTATAGGGGTCATGGAATAAGAGAAATGTGTGCTCTACACACTGCCCACCTCTCATGTGATACGCTGGTGGATTTCTGGTCAGCGCTTGGTGAAGAAACTAGATCATCTCTTCTGCGGATGAAGGAGGAAGATTTCATTGAAAAACTTATGTACAGGTGAGCATAGGCATTCGGATTACCAACAAAGTAACCAAGTTAACTAGTGAGTTAATAACAACCTGAAGGTTTGTGTCCAACAAAATGCAATCCTTCTATAGAAGGAACCTTGAAAGTACCCGTAAGCTGCTCTGAGCCTCACTGAAGATTGATTGGAATTTTATATATGCACTGTGATCGGAAGTGCTACTTCTTGCTGTTGCTTTGCCGCTTCCAGATTTTCTTGGTATTGGTGCTGGCTGGCTGGTGTTTTTGCAGCTGCAGCAGCAATCTCAACTGATCAGAGTGATGAATGCTTGAGTAGTAGTATGTCATTTTTACGATATTACTGATTGGTTCTGTCTTCTTGTGTTGGGCGTTCAAGTAACTTTTTTCCTGGTAGTCCTACTCAGCTATCTGCTGGGATTTCTCTAGCAACAGCCTATAGATCAGGTTAAAATTCAAACAATTTGGTGGAAATTTGTGAACAGGTTTGACAGCAAGAGATTTTGCCGAGAGTGTCGAAGGAATGTTATCCATGAATTCAAGGAGCTCAAGGAACTGAAGCGCATGCGAAGGGAGCCTCGCTGCACCAGTTGGTTTTGTGTTGCAGATACTGCTTTTCAGTGTGAGGTGAGGATGCCCTCCTAAAACCCACCTCACCAACAAAATTTTCATTTGATTGCTTGGTACCTTATGTACACTTCCTATGTGAGTCAAATCTGGCTGCTCTGATTTTCAGGTGTTTGAGGATGCCGTTGTAGTTGATTGGCGCCAGTGCTTATCAGAGCCAGATGAATCTTATGATCACTTTGAATGGGCTATTGGGACAGATGAAGGAGAATCCGATATTTTTGGCTTTGAAAATGTTGGAATGAAGGCACAAGTCCACAGAACTGGAATCGATCTTGATCAGTTTGAGGACTACTTCATAACGCTGCGAGCTTGGAGGCTTGATGGGCAGTGCACAGAGCTGTGTGTAAAAGCACATGCATTGAAGGGTCAATCATGTGTCCACCACAGGCTAGTTGTGGGTGATGGCTTTGTGACTATGACAAAGGGCGAAGGTATTAGAAATTTCTTTGAGCATGCTGAAGAGGCCGAGGAGGAGGATGTACGTCACTTGCCATTTATGGCAACATCTTTAACTGAGATAGACATAAATAGAGTATTCATTGTTGGTGTCAAAAGATATTATTCTGATCGATGAAAATATGTGCAGGAAGATGATGGTATGGACAGGGATGGAAATGATTTTGATGGTGATGGTGCCCATCTACAGAAGCATGCCAAGAGCCCTGAACTGGCAAGAGAATTTCTTTTGGATGCTGCTGCTGTAATATTCAAAGAACAGGTACTAACCAATACTTGATATAATGGTTTCAACTTTCAACTCAAACGAAGGAAAACAACTTGACTTTTTTTCTATATTTGTGAACCTCAGCTCACAATTAACTGATTAAGATGGCTTAGCTAGCTGTATATTCAAGCTCACATCCTCTAGTTGGACCAGCTCACAACTAATGTGACTACTAAGAAAGTATATCAACTTATCAGTTTCCGTGGTTCCTGTGTGAAGACTTCTATAAGTGTGCCACCTGATTTAGTAATGTTTAAATAATTATTAGTTGTTTCTCTTAACATATCTTTTGTGGCACCATTCCTTATTTACCAATGGAAGATTTTATTTGGGATTGGCACCTTGAATACTTTTTGTATTCTTCATCTGTTATCATACAGCAAGGTTGATTGTCACTTTAGTACCTATAAAGGATTCATGGCTAATATAGTTTCTAGCCTGTGGTTTATTGAGTATGTACTGTAGTTAACAGCATTTGTCCATTACCTGTTTAGATTTCTCAGAAATTCGAGCATTTGTACTCCAAATATTAAGTATAAATGTGGATATCTTTGCAGGTTGAGAAGGCCTTCAGGGAAGGTACAGCACAGCAAAATGCACATAGTGTTTTTGTGTCCCTTGCTTTAAAACTTTTGGAACAGCGAGTTCATGTAGCATGCAAAGAAATCATTACGTTGGAAAAACAGGTGGTTATTATACCTCTAGATAAAATTCAGATAAGGTTGACTTGCTCATATTTGTGAACTTTAACTGTGGCTGCATTTATTGCAGAACAAACTTCTTGAGGAAGAGGAGAAAGAAAAGCGTGAAGAACAAGAGCGCAGGATAAAGAGGAGAACAAGAGAGAGAGAAAAGAAGAACAGGAGAAAAGAAAGGCTGAAAGAAAAGGAAAATAATAAAGGGAAAAGACTAGTTGAATTGAAGTCACCAGACGATATTTCATCTTCAGCTCCAAGCAACTCATCAACATCTATCAATGATTATTCGACAAATACTCTGGACTCAAGAGATTCAGCTATGGAAGAGGAAGACAGTGCTGAAGTTGTGAATCTGTGCTCTCCTGACAGCTGTGTGAATCAATCTTCATGTACAGAAATTAATGGAGAAAACAGTATCCAGTGCAATGCAGTTACAGAATTTTCCCCAATGGACAGCAGTGACCTTTGCACATCAGATCAATCCAAGTCTCTGAGACGAAGTCCAAGGTCAAGAGAGGATTTTCCTCGAGATCAGTCCTGTTGGTATGATGACTGCCAAGATGAATCTGGAAGAATTGGTGAATCACAATGGAAGTCAAGGGAAAGGACAAGAAGTATTGATAGAAGTTGCAACACAGCATCCACCTCAAATAACAGAACAAGAGACAGGCACTCATACAATTCTTGCAGCTGCGGCCATCCGGAAGACTACGGAGTTATGGACAGCTGTTTCTTACCAACAGCTAGATCTGGCAGACAGATGAAGATAGCAAGAAAATTAGGAGTTGAGAAACCCAGGGTGCAGTACCACAGATGCTATACTTTGGATAGCTTTATAGTGTCAAAAGGAAACCGTGCTGGTTGTACACAGAAAAATGTTATCCCAAAGCAAGTATGGGAGCCTATGGATGCTCGAAGGAAAACTAACTTACACAACACAGTTCATGATTCAGGTTCAATTAACAATGTTGATCCACTGAAACGTGTGGTTTTTTATAACAGCGGATCTCAAAAGTTCGGTGTAGGATGTGAATTACAGCCTCAGGCTTCTGAAAGTTCCAGGGATGTTTGTAATTCAGATCAACAATGTGCAAATGGTGGGAGAAATCAAACTACTTCCTGTGCTAGTACTCCTGTGGTGAATAAACAAAATTGTTACTCAGAAAATGATGAAGGCTCCAGGCATGATGAAGAGCTGATGACGAACTCTGCTGGTTCTGATAGCTCCTCTTCATGTATGAGCGAGGGAGATAGGGAAAGCAACTCCAGCAGTACAACCTCTTCGAGCGCTCAAAATCCGGAATCGTCTTCTGAGTCTGAGGAATCACCCGAGAGAATAAACAGCAAAGCAGGTACACCGTCATCAAGAGCTGCTTCACGGTCTTTGCTTGAAGCATGTGCAGGGAATGGTTTCAGAGAATACCAACCAAAAGCCACCCGCCCAGCACACAATGACATGTTTGGGTACAATGTATCCCCTGTCCAGGACCAGCTGCTGCATTACCAAAGCATGCATGCACGTCAACATCCGCCGATAACAATGGGGTTTCATGACCATTCTTGGGCCGCACCAACGAATGGAAACTTCCAGTATGCTCAGCCATCCCACTTATATTCTAGTCCGCTCGCATTCGGAATACCTGGGAATCATTTTATTGATTATCCTTACATGGCTCCTGCCTTCAGCCATATACTTTCAGAGCCTATTCACAAGGCCGCAGCCAGCTTTAGAGCCATGCCTCTGTCACCGCCTTTTCAAAACGGACATCGGCAGGTTGCTGGTCATACTCAGAGAGACATGAATATAGAGAGGCACCCTTCAAAGTTGACTATGCCGACAGGCAAGGATCCTCCAGAAGACAAGAACAAATCGGGCCTAAAGGATCTCCCAGAAGACAAGAACAAACCATGGGATGCAGATGCATCCTTTTCTCTGTTCCAATTCAGCTTGCCAATAGCTTCGCCGGTAACACCATCATCGAAAGATAAAAGCGGAGAGCTGGCTGCAAGGACGCCACTGGTTCAGGTTCAAGCTCAGCTTTGCTCGAGGGAACAGGCAGATGTGAAAGAGTATAACCTGTTCTCCTCTAAAGATAACGATATATTTTCGTTTATGTAGATAAAAGAAAAACTGTGACAAACCTGCTACCCTTCGTTTCTGCTGGCTCTTGCTGCACTTCGTGAATGATTTGTGTTCTCCGAAGAAAAATAAAGAATGTTGGCATTTTCTTCTTGCTGTCTGTATCTTCGTTTACATTTATGTTTGTTACCGTGTGTGCTAAAAGCTTGCTAATCTGCAATACTATTGAATCTTGAAACTTTTTTATATAGAATAGAATACATAGATCTGTAATGATTGGTTCATGATTCGCTCCCGACAACTGAGAACATGTTAACCAGGAAATGAAAATACAAAGGCCCTGTTTGGTTTACAGGAATTGAGAGAAATTATAATCTAATAAAAAAATAGGAAGCCTTTTTAGATATTGGTTTCAATTCATGGGATCTAAACAGACCCTAAGTTCTAAATTGTAAGTCTCCTGACAGCTGAGAACATGTTAACCGAAAATGAAATACTAGTAAGTTCTAAATTGTAAGTTGTTTTAGCAGTTATAAGTCAAACTTCTTTGCTTTTCATCAAGTTTATAGAAAAATGCATAGGCATTTATAACATCAAACTAGTTTTAGATATATCTTAAAATATATTTTGATAGTGCTTTTATTTGTTATTGTAGATGTTAACATATTCTTTTGTACATCTGATCAAAATTAGATGTTTGACTTAGAATAGAACTAAAATAACATACAATTTAAAACAAAGGGAGCATATAGTTATCCTTTCAACTAGACAATAAGGGCAATTACTGGCATCACTTCCCAAAAAGCTATTCTTTGCTTTTCCCTTAGCACCATATCATAGGTCCCAAGGAAATTTTAATTTTTTAAATCCATACTAACAATATTATATTCAATGGCTTTGCTCAGCTGTGATTGCTATAGCAGCGGTACGGCTGCTGCTGCAACAACCACTCTTGCACATACTGTTCTTATCAGAAGAAACCTAGCAGCGGCTGGGAGTAGCACAGCCGAGCACTTGAATGGTACTAACAAATAAAGACACGCTATGTAGTTTGACACGAAGAAAACAAGGAAGAAATTTATTTTTGTCCATCGGATGATAATTCAATTCTGGCCATCATGATTTAAAATTGCATATCTTTGGCCGTCTACTATCAAAATCAAATAACTTTGCCCATAAGGCTGGTTTCAATGGTGTTTTGTGTATATATATGTTTTTCTTGAAATAATACGATGTAATTAACTTTGCCCATAACTTTGCCCCAACTTGTTTGTGACTTAAAGGCTTTGTTGTTGTTGTAATACGATGTAATTAAGTATCTAAAAATTCAAAAAAAAATCCATTTTACATTAAAAAAAAGGAAACCACTACCAAAATTTTCTAAAAATACAATCTAAGAGGGTTATGTTTAGAGTTCTTTGGATTGAGCTGCTGTCTTAATATAGCGCAAAATGATAACTTGAATAAATAACCGTCACCATTTTATTATTAACTTAAATAGATAGATTGTATTTTTAGAAGAAAAAAATGGTACTAGGCTGCTAGCTTCATTATATTTTTTTTATTAAAATGGATTATTCATATTTTTTAAGATAGAACCATAGTTTTATTATTTTAGAAGACAAAACCACTTTTAAAAAACAAGTCTGGTTTTGATAGCTCGATGGCCAAAGATTTTAGAGCTCGATGGCCAAAATCAGACTTACAGGATAGTTCGATGGCCAAAGATAGACTAATACAAAACACTAAGAATCAATATTCAAACTTCAAGATATCGAACTATTATATAACCAAGAGATGCCTGGGCGATTCATCAAACAAATTGAACACGCGCCAGATGTTTAAACAAGCCCGCCAAAGAGATATACAGTATGACATAAGCCACCCACAAACTATGCCCGTCACAAATCACAGGCAGTCACAATTTGCTTTACAAATCTTACAAAAAAAAAAATCATCCTTCAAATTGCAAAACAGCAAGGTAAAAGCTAGGCTCATCAACGAACTCTGTTATTTCATACTTGTTCCCAGATGCAGCCTTCTCCAGGAAGGCTTTACTGGGCAAATCAGAAGTTACAACATCAGGATGCTCTCTCCGTTGTTGCTCAAAATTCTGTCTGCCTTGATCTAAGAACATGACAACTCTTGCACCTGGGGAAAAAAATTATTAGATCAATTTCTAAAACTGAACCCAAAAAAATTTGCATGTGTAACCACGATGAGTGTCTGAGTAAAGTAATCGCAAAAAAAAAAAAGATGCACTCCGCCTATGTTGTCTCAACATAGCAGGTCCCAAGCCCTGGTAAAGGAGGAGGGTTGTGATAAGCGTGGCGAGCTAATGTTAAATCTAGCAATTCTAATGGAGATGAAACCCGAAAGAAAACCGTTGGGGCGTAACCCTCTTAGCGACGCGCCATATCGAAACCCGGGTATGGTGTTAAATGGGCAAGGGCCGGGTCGGCACCCCCTTGGTGACGCGCCGTGTCGCGATCTGGGCATGGTGCCAAATTCACGTGCCTGAACCTTGATTGCTTCTGCTGGGTTTCAACTCTAGCCTACCCCAACTGATTTGGGACTTAAAGGCTTTGTTGTTGTACTCACACAGGAAAATCTCAAGTTTCAAACTTAAGCATGCCTTGTATTTTCTCTATAGGCGCAGCATGGCTAATGAGAGTTGACAGGCTTGATATCTGTTAGGCAAGGCTTAGGCTCAATTTGTTTCGGCTAGAAATTTTGGAAAGCAGCTTGTGGATTGTAGATTGTGGAAAGTCGGATTGTGAAAAGCTAAAGGTCCAAAAGCTGGTTGCTGTTTAGGAACCTGGATTCCTGGTGGGTTGGATTGTTTGGGTTTGGATGTCAAAACTCTACACTGCCTCAGCCATTTTGGGTGCCCTTTTTACAACTTTGTGACTCGTTTGCAGCTCATTTAGATTTTTTGTCCCTACAATATCCTAACACACATCTGTTTTCTCATAGCAAATAAAGCATTGACAAGTTATGATGGAAGACAATATAGCTCCCTCTTCATCTCCCGTTCACCAATGCATGTCACCATTCACTTGAAATGGATATGCTTCTGGTATTGGCATAGTTTTAATCCTGATCACACATATCAAAGTATTGATCACTCATAGCACTATCTCGAATGAACTTATAAAGAGTAATCCATGCTAATATTATACTAGCAGCCTGCTATCAGTCTTTAAAACTAGCCTAACAACTCAAAGGAACGGAACATAACAGAACACCCTTGTATGCATAATCAGAACCATAAATATGTTCCATGAATTGCATATCACTGCTGCTCCAATTAAACGAAGATAACAAAGCCAAATTAGCCACCGAAGTAGTTCAAGTATATGTTAAGGGTTTGATGCAATATGATATCTGGCAACAACGGTCTCATAATAACCCAATCTGATCAATCAATGTCTCAACTCTCAACCCCACCAATTTGCCATCTCAAATGATTTAGCTATGGTTTCAAAAACGCAATGCACAGCCTAATAAGCCGCATCCTTGATCCTTCTAAGCACCTCATGCGCAGTCCACTGGAAGTCTGAAACAACAAAGCTAAGAAAGGATAAGGTGCCATTCCAACATGTCTCACCTTTGGAGCACCTCTTGGCCAGCGATTTGAGGAGCGCCGCGGCGGAGACTCCCATTCCAGGGAAGTAGCACACAAACACAACATCGAAGTCGTGGAACCTCTCCGGCACGGCCTCCACGACGCCGCCGCCCCTGCCCCCACCCCCACCCTCCAGGTGGAAGCACCTCACCTCGTCGTGCGCCTCCTTGACCCCCGCCAGCACGTACATGGACTCGTGCGCGGCCACCAGTAGCTCGCAGGGCGAGGACGCGAGGAGCGAGCTCACGAAGGACGCCGTGGGCGTCAAGGCCAACACCAGCGACGCCGGCGAGAGCGCCCCCACGGCGAGCGAGCGCTGGAGGTTTGTGCCCGCGGACTCGAGGAACGACCAGTCCTTCTCCACGACGTCGGCGACGGCGACGTCGTCGGGCGCCGCGGCGAGGCGGGGCTTCGCGGTCGCCGGGGTGAGGGTTAGGCTGAGGCGGAGGGGTTTAGGTGGTTTTGCGTTCGGTGGTTGCCTCTGGGGCTGGGGTTGGGGTCGGGTTCTGGGAGTTGGGCGGTGGTGAGAGGAGAAGCCAAGGGAAAGGGAGGTGGAGGCGGCGGCCATGGGGGCCGCGTTAGGCGGTGGCGTCCGGTGGATAGAGGTGGAAGGCGTCCGTGACAACCGACAAGGCAGCGTTGCAGATTTGCGGACTGTCACCTGTGCGGAGGACTGCTCGAATATTATAGGCTGGGTTTTTACAGTAAACCAGTCAGCGACCTAGCTTCCGACGACATTGACGCTCGTGCCGGCCCTCATCGTCGACTGCTCATCGTGGTCCCACGCCTTGTCAGTGCATCGACAGCTTGCTGCAGGCCCCGTTTGCCAACACTATCCGCGGCTCTACGATCCGATCTACAGAACCGTAAAGGCCATGAAGATTTGCATGTATTCATGCACGATGGAAAGATGTGGCCCAACAGATCCAAGTTCGATCGGCAAGCACCAACCGAGAAAGCTGTCGTTGGGAATTTCACCGAGAAGCAAAAAGGACGGGCTCGAGACGTCAACAGCTCAGACACGTGCAAGACACAGCACAAGCACGGGACTCCTACTCCAGCATCAAGACTACACGGATCCACTATTCGTACGTGTATACATGTATGTGCGTGGGCCACATACACACGTACGGATTTGTTGTTGTTTGCCTATTAGCTACGTTTCCAAGATCATATCACCACTTAAACAAAGCTAAGTCGTTCTATTTTTAGATTATTATAAACATTCTATTGCCTATATGTTTCTATATCCGCCTTCATGATCATCCACAGCTTCCACGGCGACTGGATCGGCGTAAATATGCATGCACATACGGATCAACCACATGCACGCACTCACCGTCGGAGGGGCCAGCCGTCGAGTTGCATGATGCCGTACAAGCTAACTGAAGCGTGCAAGGAGGATCTTGGA